GTATTTCCTCAGCAACCAGCACGGATCAGCTCCAGGCATGACGAAGCAGATATCGTCCTCTTTTGGAAGACCAAACAAAGTAGTTTCGCTTTTACAACGAAACACAGCGTCTTTACGACATGGCGGCGGAAACAACAAAACTACAGTGAGAATAAAAGTTACGCCTTCTTTCTTTGCGTGAACATTTGGGCGGCGTTATGCAAATCTTCCCACATAGTGATGTAGACATGTGGGGGCGTGTTAGAACGAACCGTTTTAGGTAGGCGTGGCCGACACTTAACTTTTATAAAGAATATCTCTTTGGATTTGAGACTTTAGTCTTTGCAACTTTACAGATCTTCTTTATGCACCAAGAGCTTGTAACACTCCAAAGAGAAAGGAACAATTTAAATTGCATCATATGACGCCTTTAAGCTTAGAAGAGGCATAGTCGGGAACCTCAGGAGTCACCGTTTAATGCTGACACAGAACCTTTTCTTTCAAACAGAGCAAGTTGTCTGTGCACTTATTTTGAAACCTACCAATGTAACTTAAACACCTATTTTTGTTGAAGCATGACTAGACTTGTTAGTGATTTTCTTTCTTGTTTTAAGATTTCTTGTTCTATGTATTATTGTATTTTGGCCTCACATACACTCATGTAGCAGAAATAAATGTGCATTGACGTGTGGCTTGGATGCCATTTACCTATCTCTTATCTCTTTATTTTCTTCTGTTGAAAACATGGGAAGAAACCTTGCAGCAGGAATATTTAATTGTAAGATCTAACTAATATGTTTTATTTTGTTAGGTTGTCAGCGCTGGAAGTTTTGCTTCATGTTTTCTGAGGTTGTCTTCTGTATTAGATCCTGAGTTTGGTGAGTTACTCAAAAAATCCATTACAGATTACTAATTACTTAAATAAAATAGTGATTAGATTTATTATTTTACATTACTAACAACTTTACTTTTAAGTAAAACCCCTACTAAATAATACCTTTATACCAAAGGGCAAATAGCTTTTACTGTAAAACCAGTGTGTCAGTGATTGTATTGTCTTGTCTGTGCATGTATTTTCACTTCTGTTTGTGTGAAATGAGTCTGATGCTCTATTAAATTGTTGAGCTTACAGAAGGGATGCTCTGATTAGGTTTTTTATTGTAGCCGATAGAAATGACTGATTCCTTGTCATTTTAATCAGTCAATACAGATTATGAAACTGATTTTTTAAACCTTTTATCAGGAGCTCTATCATAACTGGTTGTGTGTAAGCTCGTGGTCACTGTTAACTGAATTAAAGTAACACCAGCTGTTGCATAGTTTTTGTTCACATTGATATCCCATACGGAAATGTAAAATATGACATATATTGCTCTATATCAAGAGTGATATTGTCATATAGGTTACCTATACATTCTTTGGGTAGATGATGATATAAGTAATATATAAAATCCCCACAGTAAAATTTACTTCAAATTGTACATATGTTAATAATATCTAAAAATGTAAGCAGCACTGCAGGTTCAGAGCAGGAGAACAGAAAGAAGTAGAAAATTAAGTGCAGATTAAACATTTACATCAAGTTTTGAAATCAGGATTGTATTCTCTATATTTCTCTATGAACTTTTGTTAACTTCAGAGTTTTTCTCTGAAACAGTTTGTCTATTCTGTTTTCTGCTATAACATCTATTGATAATGGCATAACTATAATGATTACCATGTAGGATCCACTTGCTCTCATCGTTTCAAAGCTGACACTCCCCCTTCTGGATTTTAGTGGGAAGACACATACATTTAAACTGCAAAAAACTTTGCTGGATATAATCAAGTGTGCATAGGAGGCTGATCCTTCATGATCTTCATGAGATCAGAATAGTTTTTGAAATTTCAGTAAAGTCAGTCTTTCAAATTTCAATATTGTACAACATATACAGTAATTTTAAGTCCGCAAATTTTTAACTTCTTCGTAATTTTGTTAGTTATTTGTCTAAAGATGATGTACACCAAATTTCATTCAAACTGGTTGAACAGTTAATGAGAGGAATATTTACTGATTTTGCTCAAATTAAAAAAAGCAAAAAAAATAAAATAAATGCAAGCAGTAGATTTGCTCATCATGAGCAGCAGTAAACTGGTTGAACAGTTAATGAGAGGAATATTTACTGATTTTGCTAAAATTAAAAAAAGCAAAAAAAATAAAATAAATGCAAGCAGTAGATTTGCTCATCATGAGCAGCAGTGTGTGTGTGTGTGGCTCAAACTGACCAACAGCATTAAGCTGTTGGCAATTAATAACAGAACTAAACAATAACAGGAATAACAATAACAATAATAACAGAAATACAAAAAACAAAGAGATACAGAACACTTAAAGCTATGCGTAATTAAAACAAACAAACAAACAAAAAAAATAGATGACAAATACACATCTTCAAAACCAATTTCATTCATGCCAAAGGTTTAAAACATTACAGAAGTCCATCGAATAAAATAATCACACAGGAAAGCCAAAGGGACTATTGAAGAAATGTATTAAATGCTTTATTGATTTATTTTGTCCATGCAGCAGAATATGTCTTCATTTAGTCATAATCTCAGGGAGATTATTGCAAAATCATTTGCTGCACTGAAAAGACAAATAATACACAAATACACAAAATACTAATACAAAAATACATAAAATACTAATCAGATTTATGGAGTATTGAAGAACCAGTAGCAAATTAGTATTCCAAGCAGACAGCAAAAAATAAGTTTAAATATAACTCAACAATGGTTTAAATAAAGGCACAGAATATCACTAAATATGTAATGTATACCGTTGTTTGTTAATACATTTACATGAATATATATTACCAGGTATCTTTTACATTTAAATGAATAAATATCCCACTTTAAAATGTCAAAACCACATGGCCATGTCCCAAATGACACCTTTTATATGCACTTTTTTGTGATTGCTGTTTTGTGCGAATGTCTGTTAAGCCTCTGAGACTGTAAAGCATCCAATTCAGTCAGTTTAGGCTTCAGTAATGTGCTCACCAGTGTCCTATTTTGAATGCACTTTTCCCAAGCACACTTGATGTTACCAAACTATGGACTCTTTGAGGAACTGCAAGGGCTTAGGGCAGCATTTGGGACAGGGCCAGTGTCTACCTGAATATTGTCACATAATTATTCCTCAATGTTCTTTCCTAGAAGTCTCATGTAGATTTTCCTGAAAGATCCACTGAAGGCAGGACTTGAGAAGTAATATGGGATTGAGCACGCTGTTGAAGTAGGTAAAGCAGACACTGGTTTTAAATGTGTAATTTGCCTCACGGAAATAGTGGCACTCGTTATACCAGAGATTCAGGACGTACATGGCGATACACGAGATGTTGCTCGGAAAGAAACGAAAATGAAAAACCGCAGCCACTGCTAAGATAAACTGCACGGCTCTTTTGATTTTGCCCTGTGTGTCCACTGTCTTACTCTTCAACTGCCACGTTATGCAGGTGATGCAATAGATTACAATGGCCGTGGGCACAAAGAACTGGATAACGTAGAATACGTTGTGCTAGTTGAACCGTGAATTATTCCCAAAGCAGATGTTGAAGCTCTCGCATTGTGTGTGGTTGTTTAGATAGTAGAAATGTTCATCTGTTGGGAGGTAGACAGTCATGGCTATGATGAGACCCCACAGGCCAACAGAGACCAACAGGGCGTAGGTCAGACCCATTCGGTTGATGCGGTTGAGAGGGTGGACGATCTTCATGTATCGGTCCACGGCGACGGCGGTGAGGAAGAATATATCGCCGGTGTACCGACAAAACATGCTACCTATCAGATTGTGCTACTAAAAATATAGTGCATTGTTTTAAGGGTAAGTTTAGGGTAAGGGTAGGTGTGGACGGGTAGGTTGAGGGTAGGGGTAGGTGTGGACATAAAAAAAAAGCCTCAAACCACATGAATAAGATGCTGGTAGCACAATCTGATAGGTAGCATTTTTCGCTATCGATTTGTGCTACCTATCTTTTTAATGGGAGTTAGCACAATCTGAGCAGGGAGCACAAATCGTCAGAACACCGGCTCTGTTGGCGGCCAAAAGAAATGGCAGAAAGCGTCTAGACCCCGTCCTTGCCCCTGCGGTAGTAGTCAGCCCTAAAAGGAAGGCAGAAAAGGACCAATGAATCCGCCAGAGCCAGATGGGCAAGGTAAATACAATTGGGCTTCCAGGTGTCCCTGTGGAAGAAAAACATTGAGAGGGCGAGGACGTTCCCCATAAGGCTCAATACGAACTCAGTGAACATTACAGGGGGGAGGTATTGGTCCAACATGGGCGTTTCGTAAGTGCAGCACATTTAAAAGGAGTTGTTCATGATTATGGTGCTGCTGTGAAATTGGACAAAAGTCAGAGAACTTAAGATCTTTTCACTGTTTTGACTCATATGGCTCATGATTCCTAAGAGCAGTGTTGCCAGATTGGATGGACGACTTCCAGCCCAATTATATATATATATATACAGTGGGTACGGAAAGTATTCAGACCCCCTTCAATTTTTCACTCTTTGTTATATTGTACACTCACTACTTTACATTGTAGCAAAGTGTCATTTCTTCAGTGTTGTCACATGAAAAGATATAATAAAATATTTACAAAAATGTGAGGGGTGTACTAACTTCTGTGAGATACTGTATGTGTGCAGATTTTGAGTGTGTTAGAACTTTGATTCTGGATGCATTTTAACTTTTGAATAGATATATTTTTGTAGAAATACATATGTAGAAAAATAATTTCTGGCATTTTAATGGCAGACAGCAAACATAAAAGATGCATTTCCACCACCTACTGGACTGGAGTAAGGACTGAAGCATGGGAGAGGGATTTTATTGTTGTATGGTGTCAGTTAGTCTCAGCCTCAGACGTCACGCCCACAGACCATTGGCTGAACGTCTGATGCATACGGCACACAAAAGGGGAAACACTTCAGGAGTTTCGAAGTCGTTATCGGATTGGTTGAATTATACAGGATTTCCGTAAGATGCGTGTGTCACGTTCTTTAACATTTCACCTGGAAACAAATGGACCGTTGGCTGAATGTCTGATGCATATGGCACACAAAAGTGGAAACACTTCAGGAGTTTCGAAGTCGTCATCAGATTGGTTGAATTATACAGGATTTCCGGGAGACATGTGTGTTGTGTTCTTTAACGTTCCACCTGAAAACAAAGATGCTGTGGCGCCAAACCCCCTCACGAAAGAAGAAAGTCGTCGTGTTTAAAACTGTGACAACGAGCGCTTATCAGGATCAACTAAACACTGGATTCTCAAAAGTATGTGAAATATTTAAAGTTCGCGGCACAGAATCTTTAAAATACGTCCGAGAGTTTTACAACCTATCGTTCATATCGTCATGTGACCACGATAATATTGAGACAATTTTGCTATTGCAATATGGCGATATTGATAACATCGTTACATCTCTATTGGATAGAGACCAAAAGAACAAGATCGGCTGAAATGAGCTTCCTCTACAGAGTGTCTGGGCTAACCTAGTCTCAGCCCCAGACTTCACGCCCACAGCCGTTGGCTAAACGTCTGATGCATATGGCACACAAAAGTGGAAACACTTCAGGAGTTTTGAAGTCGTCATCGGATTGGTTGAATTATACAGGATTTCCGGGAGACGTGTGTGTCAATTCTTTAATGTTCCGCTGGAAACAAAGATGCCGTGACGCCAAACCCTTACGAAAGAAGAAAGCCGTCGTGTTTACAACTGTGACGACAAGCGCTTATCAGGATCAACTAAACACTGGATTCTCAAAAGTATGTGAAATATTTAAAGATCGCGGCACAGAATCTTTAAAATACGTCCGAGAGTTTTGTCTGTTATTGTGGCGACATTTCCACGCCCCGAAACGTGACGCTAAAACTAAACGAAATGTGATTGGTTGTTTGCAGGGTTTCTGCAGACTTTAACAAGTTAAATTTAAGACTTTTTTGACAGCAAAGTTACCACAGGGTAAAAATACAGATCAAATACAGAACATCTTGTAACAACAATCACAGCCTTACCGAAAGTGGCCAGGCCACACACCCTTGTGACATATTTCTTTTTAGCTCGTGGAATTTTTGCTATTGTGACTTTTTGCGGGACGGTCTTCTTTTTCTGTTTGATTTGACCTCTTCCACCTGCAAAGGGGGAAAATAATATTCTATTATAAGTTTATAGGCAGACAAACTCAAAAAGTAGATAAGTGTTGTTTGTTGGTAACAAACTAAAGCTACTAAAAATCATTTTCAGTAATTAAAAAAAAAGAAATATAAATATTTGATGAAAAACTTAAACTTGAAAATTAAAAAAAAAAAAAAATAATATTTAAAAAGTTGCCATGGCAATTATCTGGTTGAAATACTAAAATTACTGAATTACTGGAAAAAATATATATATTAAAACTACATAAAAAAAAAAAATTAAAAAAAGAACTACTAAAATGACAAGCAGAAAAGTAATAAAACAAACTGAATCTGAAAATATAAAAATAGGCTAATTGAAAATATTAATAAATAATAATATATAAATAATACTAAAATAACACTGATATTAATCTTGACATAAAAATTCTAGAAATTAAAGTAGCATGTAAACGAAGATCATATTAATAATCAAGGACATAAAACCAAAATACACTTCTCTTTAGCTGTAAATTAATTGTAATGTTTTAATTGGACAGTTAAAGGGATAATTTACTGATTTACTGCAAGATGAGGTTTTAATAAAAGTTGTCTATGCAGTAGAAACACATGAAGAAGAAAAAAAAAAACAAAAAAAAAAACGGTGCTATAGAAAAGACAGAAAAAAGAGCTGTGGTGAAAAAAAAAAGTAGGAAAACTTTAACTTCCATAATGCAATGGGGCTTGATCAGATTAACCATGAACTGAGATAAAAAAGGGGGAAGTATTATCTGTAGTTTTCACAAAAGCCCTGGCACTGTCAAAAGTTTGCTGGATGGATATCTTGGTGCAGGTAACATGAAAAAAAAAATACAGATTGTTCATTTGTTTATACCACCGACATTGTAACAATGCAAAGCTGGTTGAAAATCAGTGAACTTTCCCTTTAAGACATTCAGAAAAAGTTTTGGATGTGGTGTGGAATGTGGTACATGCACAACTACTGCACCACCGCTCCAAAACGTTTCTGTTTATAGATGTTACATATAAAAGAAAAATGTTAACCTCTCTTCTGTTTCTTTTTCTCCTCTTCCTCTCCTGCATGGGGCACCTCTCCACCGCCACCACCACCTCCTCCTCCTCCAGTAGTTTCCTGCTTGGGTGCTGTACTTACACAACAGCAGTGATATCAGTGAGCAAACTACTGACAAACCGATACAGCAGTGCATGTCATAATGGTGCAGACCAAATATTCTGCTTGTCTCAGTGTCAGATATGAAAAGACACTCAGAGATCAAACAATCCTGCAAGAGTCAAAGCTATGGAGGCACAAATAAAACGGTAAGCAACCTAAAATGGCAAGAAAAAGCACTTTTCGTGACTTTATATGAGATATTGACATCTTAAAAGTTGCTATGAAAGAAAATTGACTTACCAAGAGTCAGTTTAGCAAACACATCAGGAAAATTCTTCTCAAGCCACTGTTTGCATTTGGCCGGCTCAGGCATGTACTCGCAGTACTAGCAGAGCAAAGCAGAAACATTTTAATTCATATTTATTCACTTTCTACCAACAGAATATGTAATCATTTAAGGAATACATCACCCAGAAAAAAAACATTTGCTGGAAATTGTGAAGAAAGTGGAAAAAGTCCATCCACTGCCCTCTTACATCAAAATCCATTGACATGTATGTTTAGGACTGTTTTTGATTGTAAACGGTGCTTGATCTGTGCATATTTCTCTCCTGATTCAGACTAGATGACTTTTTCCAATGGAGGAAGCGTTATTATGGATTATGGACTTGCATTTTAGCCAGAAGCAAAGGTTTGAAGTTAAAAACGCCTTAATGATGGCTCTGTTTATTACAAACACAGCTTTTCACTTCTCAATTCATTAACTGATGGACTGGAGTGGTGTGGATTACTTGTGAATTATTGTGGTGTTTTTATCAGCTGTTTGGACTCTAACCCTAACCTCACTGCAGAGGATCCATTGGTGAGCAAGTGATGTACTGCTAAATTTAGAAAAGAAACAAACTCATCTACATCTTGGATGGCCTGAGGGTTAGTACATTTTCAGCAAATTTTAATTTTTGGGTGAACCATTCATTTAATATGTGATGTACTCACCTCTGCTGGCAGAGAACACACTGTAAGTAAAAGAAGACAGAAATGTTAGTCTTACATGACTGTAAACAAAAATAACCATTAAGACAATAACATTAAATTTACATTTTAATTGATATATTACAGTTAGCATTTGCAGTGCATTGAGATTTTTTTGTTGTTGTATTTTCTCACCTCCACAATAGAGAACTTTTAGTGGGTATTTTGCAAATGGGGCGGCACGATCCACTTTATTTTCTGGTGAACCCAACTCTGCATTCTCAGTAGTAGCCATATTACATGAATCTACACAAATCATACAGATGGGTTATTTTAGACTGACAACATAACACAACCAGCTGATGCACAGAGACCAACACTTGAATTCTAAGCTATCATGCAAGAAAAAAAATCGCATTTACAACACAGATTAATCACACAAACCTAGAGTAAAGTGTTTAGTTTGCAAGAATTGCAAAACAAATATGGTGCCTTTATAAAGCATACAGAAATATGGTCGGTCTGAAAATGGTTATACTCAAAACCTATAATAGCTAACCACACATCAGGCATAAATTGTTGGATTGAAAGTTAAATGTCATAACCAAAAATGTATCCATCTAATTACAAAAGGAGAGACCTTCCACATGTCACTTGTGCGCTATTTATCAACCTTGGGGACATTTTTAATCAACGTTTTAAATTAATTAGACTCTCAAAACGCTGTTTTGGTTCATAAAATCACAAAAGATGCATTTAAATGCATGTAAGCGCATAAATTATCAAGTGCCAGCAACACCCTAGTGGTGTTTTAGAGATACTAACCACCATACGAAGATAAGATGCAATGGGTCTGAAAAAAGGTTCTTCTTATTACACTAATAAATGCATTCAAATATAGTTTAAAAGTCTTTTAGAGTCACTGACAGTGACTTGAATCGAGGAGCCTCCGCACAATGATCATGCATCCACACCAGTGAGCACCCATTTATTAGCCAGCACTGCTAATCACAGCTCTCCTGCAGCAGCTACGCGCTCAAGCTCATACATACCCCGTCGATATAATCTCAGTACAACTTGCTTTTGAGTAACACCTTGATCATTATTACATTAACTCGTGCGGATGTTCGTTAAAGGGTGAAAGAGTTCCTCTATTGCTCAGCAGTCAGCACACATTCACTGCCTGATTTGGCTTTGGGTCCTGACAACGCCTCTCTGAGGCAGAGCAACGACGGTGTTTACGCCGCTGCCGTATTACGTATGTACTTCGCGATTAAAGATTTTCAAGTAATATTGAATGAACAATTTGAATTTATGTAAGATGCTTTTTATATAAAACATTTGATGCATTTTTATGAAACTAATATGAATTTGGTGATTTTGAACGAATATTTGAAACCAGGCATCGCGTTGGACAGCCCGTTAAGCGCGGATCACAACATGCCGTTTGTGAGAATTCCGAAAATAATCACCCGCTTCTTGTAAAAATTTCAATTTAATTTTTTTAAGCTAATCGTAATTTGGATTAGGAGTTAGGGTGTTTATATTGCATTTATTGTTGTTGTTGTTTTTTACCCCGAGTGTCTTGTTTACACTTAAATAATGCATCTTTAAAAACAATCAAACTAAACTGTGTCGTAGAGAACAAGATATTGATATTGTGCATCGCTAATGATGTTCACGCTGCTGTTTGGTTCATTTAAAATGAAGTTAGATGTAATATGAAATCTTGTCTGCTAGTCCAGACATTTGTGAGATGAGATGGAGGGGTTCAAGGAAAGAAGGAACTCTAAAACTCCTGGAAGTTTTTTGATATCAAAAGGTGATGAACATCATGCAAATATGAATAAATATTAGACACTCCTCAAATTTAAAACACGATGATTATTTGTTGCATTAATTTATTAATTTACAGGATCTCCAGTGGAGCCCTGGCACAGCACTCCTGTAAAAAAGGTTGGTTGTTTTTTAATTGTTTTATGTACAGTATGATAGTATTTATTATTTTATAAATAATATGATAGTATTTATTTGGTAGACATTTTTAGTCAGTATAATTCCATTCCATTTGTGTTAGTTCATACTTAGGATTATGCTAGTTTATGATGATTATACTAGTTTATGATGGTCCTAAAATATGTAAAATAGATGTAATAAAGATGAGTAGTGGCTAGAACTCTGATTGATATCTAATCTTCTAAAAATAATCCTTAAAAATAACTAAAAAGTAATGCCCCCCTCCCACTTTTATTGTAAATCTCACATTTTCTCTAAACATTGAATACTAATTTCACTTTGAAAGTGTATTGTTTTGCATTTCCGTTTGTATATATTGCATGTAGATAATATATCTATATTGTAATGTGTTCATGTTCCTTTGTATTTGTTGTAACCTTGTTTTTCGGGTGAGCAGTTATATTTCAAATTCAACTTTACACTTATTGGTGAATAAAAGATTTGATTCTGATTTTATGATACTCAATCCTTCAGAATCTTTTTGCTGCTAATGAGACCCCAGATGTTTCTTCCACCAAACTCAGAGATGAAAACAGAACAAGACCTCCAGCGCCGAGTCTGCATGACCTCTCAAAACCAATGTCCTCTTTCTCATTTATGCAGGATTTTCAGGTAACACATGTTTGAAATAGCTTGAATTGATTTACAAAATCTGTTTTGCTGCTTTTTGCTTTATAATTCCTGGAGTGGAAGAGTGTTCTGGAATGGAATTTTATTTTAAAGGAATAGTTCAACCAAAAATGAAAAGTTGCTGATAATTACTCTCAGGCCATCCAAAATGAAGATGAGTTTTTTCTTCATGGGAACAGATTTGGAGAAATTTAGCAAATTTAGTTAAAGGGGTCATATGATGTGATTTCAATTTTTCCTTTCTCTTTGGAGTGTTACAAGCTCTTGGTGCATAAAGAAGATCTGTAAAGTTGCAAAGACTAAAGTCTCAAATCCAAAGAGATATTCTTTATAAAAGTTAAGAGTCAGCCACACCTACCTAAAACGGCTCGTTCTAACACGCCCCCACATACCTACGTCACTATGTGGGAAGATTTGCATAACACCGCCCAAATGTTCACGCAAAGAAAGAAGGCGTAACTTTTAGTCTCACTAGTTTTGTTGACGCTGCAGCCATGTCGTGAAGGCGCTGTGTGCTTCGTTGTGAAAGCGAAACTACTTTGTTTGGTCTTCTAAAAGAGGACGATATCTGCTTCGTCATGCCTA